CGTACCGGCACAAAGGAACGAGGAAGAAGTGCAAGAAAACAAATCAAGCTGCCACAATTCAGTGACAGCGGCAATGTCTAATCATGTCTAATGTACAAAACACATCGCAAGCCCTGACCGAAGTCGAAAACGAGCGACATTTCTAAGCAGAGTCCCAGTCCACTGCATCACACCTTTTTGCTCGGACGCGCTCGTTTCACCGCCCAACCTTTATCCGCCCTGGAGAGAATGTATGAGATCCGCTAAAATTGGGCCTGATCTCAGGTTAGAAAACCTGCTGCTGGGCCCAGTTGTTCGAAAGCCGGTTAGCGCTAACCGTACGAAAAATTTCAACCCGGGTTTCTAGTTCTATTGTTCCAAAGCATTTTCTCAGATAATTTTCTCTATTTTTTTTTATAGATCATCCAATCATGAAACTGTGGACAAAAGAATTTCACTGAATTTGGCTTTCATATCTGTATTCCAATTTCGCGCTAACCCTGGGTCATCTTAACCCAGCTTCGAAAAACCCGACCCTGGGTGCTAAATGTCTCAATATTACTTTCGTTGTTTACGTTTTATATTCATATATGTAAACCAAGAAAATAATTTAAAAAAAAAAGAAAGAAAACAAAAAAAGGCTTGAGAAACCGTGATATATAACACACCTTTTCCTGTTGTGCGGTTTTCAGGTCATACTGAAGCTGCTTGACGACGGACTCAATTTCCTGGAGGTCGTCTTCTTTTTGAGCTAATTTTTGTCCCAGGTTGTCAATCTTTTTCACAAAGGTCTGCTCTTGGTTCATCGCAAACTCCTTGGCTGCTTCAACAATCTGTACTCTCTCCTCCTCAAGCCACTTATCTTTGTCTTGTTTCTCTGCCCTCAGAACTGCAAGCTGTATTAACGAAAGCATAAATACAGATATCAACCTTACAACTCCCATTAGCAGACCTTCACTTGTGCGAAATTATCGTTTCTTTTCAGTCCAAAGTAAAAAGTTTTCTGAATACCCACTCTCTGGTTTCGCTTTCCCGTGGTAGTGTTTACTGAGCCTACGGTACACCATTTGCGTTTTACCCTGTGGATGAAATCCTATGGTGTGACCATTCAAATGAAAGCTACTGAGCAGTACTTTCCTGTGGTACTGTTTATTATGCTGTACAAGGTGGTTCTAACTTTTAAGTCTGTGGATGAAATCCTGAAGTGTGACCATTCAAATGAAAGCTACTGAGCAGTACTTTCCTGTGGTACTGTTTATTATGCTGTACAAGGTGGTTCTAACTTTTGAGTCTGTGGATGAAATCCTAAAGTGTGACCATTCAAATGAAAGCTACTGAGCAGTACTT